AAGAAGATATGCTTGTTGCTAGGTAATACGAACACTTTTAAAAGTAGATGAATGACTGTGGAGCAGCTGGCAGGACTTGATCATAACAACACATATTTGAAAACACTCAGGCCAAAGATTTTCACAGCATAACAACAATAAAAAGTGAGAATCTGTCGTTGGTTGGAGTGGACTTTCTTTAGAGTCTCTACACTGATAGTGCTGAGGTTGATCAGACAACTATTACCTTGACAGCCATCAGTCAGAGGCGAGACACATGGTGTGGGTGTGATAGTTATGAATGAGTGCATGGGACTTACAGCGTACATCCATCAACAGTCATAAACATAAATGAACAAGCAACAGAGGAGCGTAAGGGAGGTGATGTCTCTCTGACAGTCTTACACAATAAAGTGACAGCAGCTTTCTGACTAAAAACACTTCTCCACCTTTTTTTATTTACTCTTACTCCATTCATTATTTCCCTTCTGCTTCATCACTCCTTCCCTTCTCGTGTTATGTCAAAATGAAAATAATGCGATTTGTTGACTCTTTGATTCTTATTTACGGTTGCAACCACAGACTTTATGTATACCTTCGAAGGTTAAGCTGAGTACAACCTGAACACTGACAAGAGTTTTACGCCACAAAATTGTTAAAATTGACTGTTACTGCCAGACAAACATCTGCATCTAATGCAGGATGAATGGCAGTCATGTGGAGAACAGTCGCATTTCGCTTTATGATCAGTTCAAGCTAAATACAGTAAATAATTGCATCTTCTTCCTATAAGTCTTGTTCTTAAAGCATGCTGGGAGCTATAAGCAATCAGCCAAATTCAATTCATAGGGATATCACCAGAAAGTACAGCCATTTATAGCTGCACAGGGATTTAAAACTACCTCAAGGTTCAAACATGAACTGCATATCGGATATCCTTTTATGTAAAAATGTACATTAGGAAGTGCAACACACTTCAGTATTATATGGGTGAAAAGACTGCAGAACACAATTAAACATTCAAATAGAGCCATAGAGTCTGTTAAGAGTATATTTTGCTTGAAAGCCTTTTTGTTTTGATTTGTTTATCTTATTGACTTTTACATATGGTGTGGGATTTAACTCCTTTTTTGTAAAAGGGTTATTACCAGAGCACGTCATATGTTTGATTAGTTTCAGATGCATTATGTTTTGACACACAAACTATGGATGCAGGTCTGTATCTTGAGTTTGCTTGATTTCCTTTTGGCTATGCTTGCCTCTTACTCATTCAGTAGGCTCAATTGTTTGATTAAGTCAAAAGTGTATTCACTTCTGTAACATCTTGAGTTCTGGTTTGATGAAGATGGAATGGGTATTACAATATATTTATCACAAGGTTCAGCCTGTAAAGTATAACACAATATTGATACCATCTGATTTTTGAAATCGACAGTCTGTCAGTACCGGGCAGGGTTTAAAGCCTGGTGCTTACTGCTCTCTGTTGGTCAGTATGTTGAATTACACTACAAGTGAATGGCAGTCAACTGGGTTCCTATCCCTCAATGCCATTCATCAGTGTGTTCATGCAAACAAATGTGATAATGATGAACTCTCATTGCTCCCATTGTGACTCCCCTCACTTAATGTTCGTCAACATTATGCCTCTATCTTGTTTATGTTAGTTTGTGTACTACTTATTCTGTCACATGCTTGCCGTAAATAAGAAATGGGAATAAAGAACACACAGAATCAAAGGAAAAGTATTTTCTTTTGATCTTTTTCGATGGTGGGTTTGGATTTGAAAGAATGAAAGGGAGAATAGTACGGTGGCCCGGAAGTGCAAGACACCACAGCATTTCATAAAACACCACAGCATTTCAGAAAACACAACAGCATTTCAGAAAACACTACAGCATTTCAGAAAACACCACAGCATTTCAGAAAACACAACAGCATTTCAGAAAACACCACAGCATTTCACAAAACACAACAGCATTTCAGAAAACACCACAGCATTTCACATTGGACGGAAAGGGTATTCCTTTAGGGAGAACACTTCTTGTTTGTGATTGGACAGAGCCAGCCAGAGAAGCACTGCTGTGATTGGTTGTTTTTGCTGCCAGTCAAGAAATGACGCTTCGTGATCGGTCAGCACCCGACAGCGCAACATGTCATATACAGTCTATGGTCCCAACACATCAACCGTTAGCTGTTAGCACACACTCAGAGCTCACAGCTCCTCATATCTGTTCAGAAACTGGACAAAAGTTAAACAAGTACAAATCACAGACTGTCTATGTCATGGCGAATACAGTCGCTGCTTCATTTATGTCTGTATGACGCTGTTGTGAGTGTGGACGGAGCAGCTACAGGTTAGTTTAGCCTGATCGATTCGCCCCCTCTCCAGCACGTCTTGTTTGAATGACAGGAGTAAACACTGACAGCTGCGGTGAAACTCGAGCGATTAGAGCGATGCGAAAAAAACATGAATTAATGCTTTATTAATTCATGGTTTTTAAGGGGCTTATCTCCATGTAAATACTATGGTAGACTACCCAATATTCGCATCGCTCTAATCGCTCGAGTTTCACGGCGGCTGTCAGCTGTGTTTGCTCCTGTCATTCAAACAAGACGCGCTGGAGAGGGGGCGGGGCGTATCTCCATGTAAATCCTATGGGAGATACCAACTACAACAAAATGAACATATTGACCGTGATTTAATTGTAATACACGTTTCAAAGTGATGCCGAAGTAACTACATACTGATACCGGTTAGTAAAAAACATGAATTAATGCTTTGACAAGTCTGCAGACAAGACGGCAGGCGAAAAGCTTTTAAAATGCGTGTTTTCTGAATGGAATTGAATCCATCAGGCTAAACTAACCTGTAGCTGCTCCGTCCACACTCACAACAACGTCATACAGACATAAATAAAGCAGCGACTGTATTCGCCATGACATAGACAGTCTGTGGTTTGTACATGTTTAACTTTTGTCCAGTTTCTGAACAGATATGAGGAGCTGTGAGCTCTGAGTGTGTGCTAACAGCTATATGTCCCAACACAGCAGCCGTTAGCTGTTAGCACACACTCAGAGCTCACAGCTCCTCATATCCGTTCAGAAACGGGACAAAAGTTAAACAAGTACAAACCATAGACTGTATATGTCATGGCGAATACAGTCGCTGCTTTATTTATGTCTGTATGACGTTGTTGTGAGTGTGGACGGAGCAGCTACAGGTTAGTTTAGCCTGATGGATCCGATTCCATTCAGAAAACACGCATTTTAAAAGCTTTTCGCCTGCCGTCTTGTCTGCAGACTTGTCAAAGCATTAATTCATGGTTTTTACTAACCGGTATCAGTATGTAGTTACTTCGGCATCACTTTGAAACGTGTATTACAATTAAATCATGGTCAATATGTTCATTTTGTTGTCGAGTTTCACCGCAGCTGTCAGTGTTTACTCCTGTCATTCAAACAAGACGTGCTGGAGAGGGGGCGGATCGATCAGGCTAAACTAACCTGTAGCTGCTCCATCCACACTCACAACAGCGTCATACAGACATAAATAAAAGCAGCGACTGTATTCGCCATGACATAGACAGTCTGTGGTTTGTACTTGTTTAACTTTTGTCCAGTTTCTGAACAGATATGAGGAGCTGTGAGCTCTGAGTGTGTGCTAACAGCTAACGGTTGATGTGTTGGGACATGTTGCGCTCGGGTGCTGACCAATCACGAAGCGTCATTTCTTGACTGGCAGCAAAAACAACCAATCACAGCAGTGCTTCTCTGGCTGGCTCTGTCCAATCACAAACAAGAAGTGTTCTCCCTAAAGGAATACCCTTTCCGTCCAATGTGAAATGCTGTGGTGTTTTGTGAAATGCTGTTGTGTTTTCTGAAATGCTGCGGCGTTTTCTGAAATGCTGCGGCGTTTTGTGAAATGCTGTTGCGTTTTGTGAAATGCTGTTGTGTTTTGTGAAATGCTGCGGCGTTTTGTGAAATGCTGTTGTGTTTTCTGAAATGCTGCGGCGTTTTGTGAAATGCTGTGGTGTTTTCTGAAATGCTGTTGTGTTTTCTGAAATGGTGTAGCGTTTTCTGAAATGCTGTTGTGTTTTCTGAAATGGTGTAGCGTTTTCTGAAATGCTGTTGCGTTTTCTGAAATGCTGTTGCGTTTTCTGAAATGCTGTAGCGTTTTCTGAAATGCTGCGGTGTTTTCTGAAATGCTGTTGTGTTTTGTGAAATGCTGTGGTGTTTTGTGAAATGCTGTGGTGTCTTGCACTTCCGGGCCACCGTAGAATAGAGAGCTAAACGATGCAGAGAAAAAAGGGAAACAAAGACAAAAAGCGTAGACAATTAATGTCAAATTATGAGAGCATGCATGGAGCATGCCAAGTACATTAGCTACCAAAGCTGAACATTAATCATCATCTTGCGGCTGTCAACGGGTAATATTCACATCTGTAATTGGGACAAAGTGATAACCAATGGGGCATTTCAAGTGTGTGTGTTTGCTATGAGAGAGAGCATTTTTATATTCTCTTTACAGTCGAGAGGTTACAATGCAGGTGGCACATTGTGGAAACGTCTACTTTTTACACCAACTAAATATCACTGCAACAGATTTCAATGCATTAATTAGCACCTTGTTAAGTGCATTGGAGAAAATAAATATATAAATGAGTGGCATGGTGTTAAATTAAACTGAAAACTGAATCTGGAATCATTTATCTATCTGTTTTCTTGGTCTTTATATTGTAATTCTATCAAACTGATTACAAATACACAATCCGTCTGTGGTTATAGCTTACATGTTATGGTAGTAAAGGGTGAGGGTAAACTGATAGACACACAGACATACCTCCTAATTTCATGCAAGGAATGTCAAATCTGTTCATGACAAATCAGTTGTTAAATCAAAGTCATAAAGGTAGGATAATAAATCACTTAATAGCCGGAACAGTATTAACGATAGCAGTTTATAATCTATATGAACTCAAACCCCTTTCCTATGGTACGCATGCGCAGGAAACAGTGTGAGAAGTGCGTGAAGTGGGTCGGGACCATAGGTCGGGACTTGACACAAAATCTGAGATTTGACTTGATCCGCGCTCCAGTTTTAAGGATGTAAAGCTACAGGTTGCGGACAAGGACTTACTTAAGCATGTTTTTGTAAACAGCTTGCAGAATTGATGAAGATAATCCAGGAATTTTACAGGATCTGCACACCCTACTGCTCGCCCCGTCGGTAACTTGGGACAGAGGCTGCTACACCAGCTAAGCTAAGGTAGCGCAAAGTGCTAATGCTAGCTATTTACAAAGCCTTATGTCGTTATTAATTGAGGGAACTTATACCAACCAAGGGTTTCACAGTAAAACTGTACTTTGACATTACATATCGACCTGTTTGTGCCGCGGCGTCCCTGCTCACCTCCTATTAGCATGCTATATTTGCTACTGTGATATCAACATGAATCGGTGCTAGCTGATATGGTTAGTAGCAGGAAGCTAGTCAAGCTCACATCAAGCTAACCGAATGAACGTCTGTTTCCGGTCAAAAACCGAAAGCGAGCAGTACAAGTGTTTAACTTGTGAAATTAATTTGACAAGAAATATATAAATATGTTGGCCAACATATATTGCACTAAGGTTTGATTAATATTGCGTTGGAGACGTTTGGAACTTTTTTGTTTTATTCCTACAAACAACACCTACAATAAACTAAAGTACTTAAATGGTTGACTATTAGTACATGCTATGTAAAAGGGGTAGGTATAATACGTTCAAGCTTCAGCCTACACTCGTTAATAAGACGTATTTGGGCATAACATGTCAATTAATTTACTATCACAGACTAAAATGACACTATGTGTATAACTTGTAATAGTTATCTAATCATGTCATGGGGTTTAGGTTCTTCTCGAGCTCAACAGTTCTTATTAAAAGCACATTTGTAATTGTTTTACATATTGAAAAAAATAGTTCCATTGCGTTTTGTTAAAATGTTAGCTTTTATTTTGAAGAGGATTGTTTACTTCCGGTGAGTTGTGTCCGTATGCAGTAACTTCCCGGGGAGACGGCAGCCAGAGTGGCGCCGTTAGCTTGCAACAAGAGGCACGCAAAACAATTTAACCCTAACTTCTATCCTAGAATGAACAGTTCAGGGGTTTTAATTTAATTAGACACAGGTGCATACAATATTACTTCGTCAGGTGATGAGGTAATTGCTTAGCTAGCATTATTATACTGCTAAATATTCTGTTAAATCGTTACAGTAGCGTTTCTGATTCATGCCTCCTGCCTGCTTCTCAGATTCAAATAGAAATATCATGTTCATCGGTTTTACCTAAATAGCTCAAATGTTAACCAGAATTAATCGATAGGGTGGCAGTAAATTACAGCCTTTATCTAAAAAATGTACAATACATAAAACACAGGCAATTTACAGCCTGACTTTCTTGGTCAGTTGCAAGTTCCTTAGATACTCCAACTAATACAACAGCAATACAACTTTTCATATTAGGCACATTTTAAGAAATATACATGTTTTTTTTATCATAATGAAATCTAACATCTGTATCACGCTAAACAAATTACAGCCTCATAAACTACTATAATTTTCAATCAACATACTTCTCAAACAGTTTGATCACAAATTTGCAAATTATCCTTTTTTCAGATTTTGTCCCCTTCCTTCCTGATGCTGGGGGTCTTGTGAGGACACACATCTTCCTCAACTACAGCTGAATTGCTGTGAAGATAGTCTCTGCTGAGGCTTCCTGATTGAGTGAACCACATATAGATATATTCTCAGAAAGTGCAGTGAGAGAGAGAAGTCAAGATGTCTATCACCAACACACCTACCAGCAATGATGCCTGCCTGAGCATTGTGCACAGCCTGATGTGTCACAGACAGGGTGGTGAGAGCGAGACGTTTGCCAAGCGGGCCATTGAGAGCCTGGTGAAGAAACTGAAGGAGAAAAAGGATGAGCTTGACTCCCTCATCACTGCTATCACCACCAACGGGGCCCATCCCAGCAAGTGTGTGACCATTCAGAGGACTCTCGATGGACGACTGCAGGTAGGAACACACAATCACCTGGGTTATGAATAACATTTATTTTCTACACGTTAGTGCATCTGGCCCAGGGCGTAAAGTTTGGTGGGCTAGATGCACTTGACCATTGTGTTTTTAATCTAGTCTGAACAAGCTGCTCTAGTGGAAAACGGGTTGTGTTCATTGACACTGCGTTTGACCTCAGCTGTAAGGGCAGTGAGTATACAAATGATTTAACGCTTTTTTCCTTTATTCTTCCTCTATCTTTTTGATTTTTGTTGTTCCCAGGTGGCGGGACGTAAAGGGTTCCCTCATGTAATCTACGCACGGCTGTGGCGGTGGCCTGACCTGCATAAGAATGAACTGAAGCACGTCAAATACTGCCAGTTTGCCTTTGACCTTAAGTGTGACAACGTGTGTGTCAACCCCTATCACTATGAGCGAGTGGTGTCTCCTGGCATAGGTGAATAATAGGGAGGCTTCCAGTTAGTCTTTTTTAAATTGGTAAAATGTTTATTGGGCTCTTCAGAACCTAAACAGAACTTCAAAAAAACACTGTCTAAAAGATGTTGTTCTAGCTTACTGATCATTCAAATGTATGTAAAACGATAAAGAAAAGGCCGTTCAATGCAATTTATTACAGTCTCTCTTAACTGTGACTCTTAAATAAAGAAGAGGACATCAACAGAATAAAAATGAATAATTATTTATTCAAATTGAAAACACAAATTATTTTGTTCACAACTACTCTCTTTATTTATACATTTACTATTACATAGTCTACTTGTATTTTTAAGCAAAAATCAAACAGTTCATCGTTCCCTTTCTATTCATCTTTTTGTAAAACACTGTGGGACTGGATCACATGTGTAAATTGTCCCTCACTAACATGTTCCGCCCTTTGATCCTGTTCCTCGTGCACAGACCTATCAGGACTGACTCTGACCAGTTCTGGCCCCAGCTCCGCTTTGATGGTGAAAGACGAGTACGACTTTGATGGTCCACAGAGTCTGCCCTCGATCGACGGAGGGCACTCCATCCAGACCATCCAGCACCCCCCCTCCACCAGCTGCCCGGCCCCCTCTGAGCCCTTTGCCACTCCAAACCTTCTCCCCCCTGCTGAGGCCTCCACCTCCGCCTCTTCGTCAGCTTTTCCTGCCATTTCTGCTGGATCAGGAGGTTAGTACAGTTGTTAAATATTCCTTTATGTATCATGATGTCTGCATTTGTTTGTGCAATACAGTATGTGTGTGTAATTTGAAAGTTACTGTAAATATTTTACTGTCTCACTCAAAAAATATGACTTCAGAAATAGAATGGATTAAGTCATTTCAATTTCAATCATGAGTAAAAGCCTAGTGTTCTTTGTTTTGTGAATTATTGATTCGGTTCTCTTTATCTGTATCTGACTTGTGTTGTCCTTTTCTCCTCAGGTGCCAGCGCCAACTGGTCGAGGAACAGCAACTTCAACCCCAACACACCCCAACACACAAACGGCCATCTACAGCACCACCCTCCCATGCCACATCCGACACACTACTGTAAGTACACTGTCACTACAGCTTCAAGTTCATCTGCAGACGAATAGCTTTATAGATTGCATTTACTTCAAAGTGGGTGATCACTGACATTTCTCTCTGTTTCTCTCAGGGCCGGTGCATAATGAGCTCGCCTTTCAGCCTCCTATATCCAACCATCCAGGTGAGAACACAAAATCCAGAAGTACATAGACCCTGGGCTATTTTTTTCTTGGTGTTTTAGAAAACAGTTTGAATCAATTTGACTAACCGCGCATCGATCTTTACAATTTGATTCATAGAGTGATGTCCTTTTTTCCGCTATCATTCTTCATTGCTAAAGCACTATTGCCCATTTCAACTGTTGCTTCAAGTGGGTGACTACATTAGATATAAAGCTTTGTTAATATGCTGGGTTTGATTGCCTCTGGGTCAACTTTTGATTGTCATTACATCAAATGTACAAGTTACTTTCAAATGAAACATATAGTGCTGAAACAATGAAAATAATCGATTCAAAATATCCTTGTTTAATAATGGTTTTACAAATGTATCAAATGAAAACGTGGCTTGTTTGTCTTCATTTCTGTACTACGAAAATATACCTTTATAAATAGCTTGACAAGGAAAAATGTTCATTCCTGAAATAAAACCGTTGACATTAGTTCTCTCCCTTCTGTTTCAGCTCCTGACTACTGGTGCTCCATTGCCTATTTTGAGATGGACGTTCAGGTCGGGGAGACGTTTAAGGTCCCCTCTTCTTGCCCCATCGTGACAGTGGACGGCTATGTGGACCCCTCAGGAGGAGACCGCTTCTGCTTGGGTCAGCTCAGCAATGTTCATCGCACTGAGGCCATTGAGAGAGCAAGGTAGGAACCATAATAACTTTCAACAGTTATACGCACGCTTGCGGCTATTGTAGGCCTATAAGGTCTTAATTGTAACTAGATGGGATCTCAAATGAATGCTCTACTGTTGTGTTCACTGCAAATAATCAAGAGATGTATCACTTAACAAGAACAACCTTGTCTGTTTTTCTGTTTAGTCCCAGCATGTTCTGTTCTGTGTTTTGTGTTTCCCTCTGTATAAGCCTCCTTGGGTTTATGAAAGGCGCTATATACCTTTAAGTTGTTATTTTTACATCAGTCATTTACATCAATTATTTACAAAATAGAGGTTCTGCACCCCGGTTAGAATTGCTCAAGCTGATCCATGAAGCACTATTTCGATGCTGACTATCATGCTATCCTACCTGCTTCTTAAGATTTATATTTAGGCTTAGATTAAATTCTGCTTCACTTTGATGTGGTAAGAACATGCAAAATCAAACATATGGATGGGAAACACTACGTTTATACATGATTAAAGCCAGATCAATAAATTCATAAACATAAAAATGTTTAGGATTTATTTCATTCATAGTAACAGAATACACATTGGTATAAATATGGTCTTAAAACCATATTTTAACTTGTTGAAACCTGCAGAAACTCTATAATATAATCTTTAGATGTGTGTTTGATGCAGATATAAATATCCCAAAATATTAAGGCAAAATTAATTTTCTTAGGTGTATCTTTGGTTGGAGTATGCACTATTTTTCTACCCATTTGACACTTAAAACCCTACCACAATGTCATCTGTTAAAAGCTCAGAAGCACATGTTGATCCAAGATAACATCGCCTAACCTTCTTCACATTTGGTTCCTTTTATTTCTTCCTGTTTAGTTAAAAAATAAGCTGAGAATATTCTTGTTAAAAGGATGTAGAATAATGTTTCATGACTAGGCCACCAAATTGTTTGTATTTGTAATTCTAACATGACAAAGGCATGCAAAGGATTAAAAAAACATATAAAGCAACTGTGTGAAACCAATTTAAGTTCTGCATATTTTGCTGATCTAATATGTCTAGGTGAGAATCGTTGAATGCAGACAATAAATGGCTATGTTTACTATGAAAACTCAATATGGCAATATTATAACTCTGCTTTATTCCCTTCCTGTTGTCTCCTCTCTTCCAGGCTTCACATTGGCAAAGGGGTTCAGCTGGAGTGTAAGGGGGAGGGGGATGTGTGGGTGCGATGCCTCAGTGACCACGCAGTGTTTGTTCAGAGTTACTACCTGGACAGAGAGGCCGGCCGAGCCCCTGGAGACGCTGTGCACAAAATATACCCCAGCGCTTACATCAAGGTGAGCACATAGTCACTGGACTGTAGAAGGAGGACATCCCTCAAGGCTGTGTGAAAGATCAAACCGTCTCTTTCTATGCCCCCTCCTCATGCATTCTGCTCTGACATTGTTTTTTAAGCTGTTTTCCCCATGCTGCCACAGTCTTCATTTACATTTCTGCTGGTAGTAGGTACTTGCTGCTGAAGGACATTTGTTAACGTCTCCTCTCTCCGCCAGGTGTTCGACCTCCGTCAGTGCCACAGACAGATGCAGCAGCAGGCCGCCACGGCTCAGGCCGCCGCTGCAGCTCAGGCAGCCGCTGTGGCTGGAAATATACCTGGCCCTGGATCAGTTGGAGGAATTGCTCCAGCTATTAGTAAGAAACTTTACTCTATATATACCGATGCACATTCACACAGACACCAGGGTTAAATGCAGAGGTCAAATGTCACTGTGTGTGCATGTATGTGTGACAATTAAAGAGGGTTTCCTCCTCCGATTCTGTCAGGGGGTGGTAAAGGCAGAGTGGGTGGATGTTAACAAGCAGTGAATGGGAGCTATGTACTTGCATATGACGCAAACATAGAAATGCTCAGTGAAAAATAGTGTTTTACATTTTGATTTAGTTACATTTAGTTAAAAATGTAGTTGAAAGTTTTGCACATTTTCTAGTGATTTTTCTTCTACGGTGTTGTCACAAGTCTTTTAAATCTTCAGAAAATATTTCCCTATGTCAGAACATCTTGGCCCAAAACCCAGATACTCAGTTGCCTAAAAATCGGGAATTGATTTTCAATTATTCGATTATCATTTTTTCAACTCAAAATAATGGTTATCACTTGAAGTCTTCGGTTAATACAATTCACTTGAATCCTATTTAAAATGGAATAAATCGTTTTTTTCCACACACAAACTTTATCCCACTCACCTGATCTCTCCTGTCCTCCAGGTCTCTCGGCAGCAGCTGGTATCGGGGTAGATGACCTGCGGAGGCTGTGTATTCTCAGGATGAGTTTTGTTAAGGGCTGGGGTCCCGACTACCCCCGGCAGAGCATCAAGGAGACCCCCTGCTGGATTGAGATCCACCTGCACAGAGCCCTCCAGTTACTGGACGAGGTTCTGCACACTATGCCTATAGCAGACCCTCAACCTCTGGACTGAGATGCGCCCCCCCCCCCCGCAGCATCACACTGCAGCATACAGCGGCTACGGAGAGTCGTCCTCAGTGAACCGTGTGGAGAATCCAGTGAAACAGCGGTGACACTGTAGCTGTCCCACATGAAAAAAAAAACATTCAGGTGTTTTTGAGGTACCTTTGTGCACTGTGGCCCCTACTTTTGCTTTTTTTCAGCATTAGTGACACTACAATTAGCTAAAGCCATATATTAAATAAAGATATGTTGCTCTTTATTTTTGATATATGGCTTTGATTTGTTATGACTGGAAAGATGAGTAGACAGTTACAAAGCAACACATCATGATGATAGATGACCTGAAGATCCCATGAAACTGGAATGTACAGCGACTACTCAGTCCACAACTACTGACAGACATCAGACTCACTGAACAATGGAAGAACGCCTGAGGGCTGTACAGCTGCGGGATGAGTGTCTGAGCACCAGGAGAGTGCTGCTGGTTTCTATTGTGTCAGACTGCTTCACACCTGGCATGACAAGCAAGTCTGGTCCACGAACAGCCATCCACGAACATCACACAGAATGAAAGGACAAGCGCCATGCCTCAAGCCGACTCTCACTCTGAACTGAAACGAGGTCAAGTCTAGGGGCTTCTCTGTGATTGGTTATGGGTTTTATGGAGGTCCAATGACAAATCTCTTCTCAATTAAACAAGATCCCCACTTTCACAAGACAATATTGTCCTTCAGTGGCGTCATGACATGCAAAGTTAAATGGCAATATATCTGTTTTGACCAACTATCTGTGAAAATATTATTTCTCCACTCACTCAAATATTGTGATGACAGGAGGCTCATCAATCATTTGTCGTTGGTAAATCTCCACCCTGGTCTCCTCTCACTTGTTTCATGTATGGTTACTGTTTTGTTAAGTGCCCTGTTATGCTGCCACGAAGGGTGAGTCTCATGCATCTTCTTTTCTCAATTTCTCTCAGAGCAGAACAGAGCTTGCTTTTGTTCAGTAAAAGTGGGGAAGAGGCATACAGCTGGTCTTAGATGTATGAAGTTTAATCATGGTAAAAGCAACAAAGTGTATCAATGTTTGGGCAAACCAAAGTATTCATTTGGAAGAAGCAGTCTTGTGTGATCATGAGAGAGAAGTCCAGTGGACATTAATTTGGAAATTAAATGAATTTGAAAGGGGATTATGTTTCTTTTCTTTTCAATTGTGTATCTCTTTATCTCCAACCGTACCCGACACACTCTCCACACAGTTGAGAAATATTGAACTGAAATATTTTATGACTTGCAGCCCGCCTACTTGATCAAGGTCTCTTGTGTATAGTTTACTGACACAAATACAAAAACCTAAGACAGTTTCACAGCAATATTGACTCTTTTTTTTTGGGTTCTATTTTTGTTACTTTATTAACTGATATGTATTGTAATTTTAGCACTTTAATTTTTTCAAGGTTTTAATTCAATAACCCTAATTTGAGTTGGTTGTCCTGCAATGTGGAAAAGGGAGTGAATAGAGTGGTTTATATTTGATGTAGGATTGTGAAAAGACGCATCTTTGTGTACATTAGTATTAAAAACATGCAACACTAAGTCACATTTTTTAAAGACTGTTTTTGCCCTTTCACTCTTACACACATTTGTAGTTTGGAGTTGCATTTAATTTTTTGGATTTGCAGTTTTCTTTCATTTTTAATCCATGTAAATATATTTGTTTTTGAAAAGTATGTCAATGTCTGCATGGTTTTAATGGCAAATAGACCCTTTTATATCTAACCCTTTTTAAATGGAGTACTTCACTTGCCCTGCATTAAACAGGGAAACTGGACTCTGTGGAGTGTAGACAACTGGAGTGCTGCTGGTCTATGACAAAAGCATTTAAGGCAAACCGAGGGAAGCTACATAGTCATAACTAAAAATCTAAATGTAAGAACATAAACTCAAATTGCTGGAACCTAAACTCCTAAAGAACTCAGAGGCATAGTTTGTTTAAATACAATAATTCCATCTAAAATTAGTAGACACATTTTTCTCACAGGTGTAGAAATAGGTGAAGCTAAATTGACACACATAAATAGATATGAAGTAAAGTCCCATCTCATCTGCCCGTGCATCTTTTGTTTTCTTTCACAGCAAATCGCCATACAGTAAATCCTGTCTGAACATATGTATCTGACAAGACATTTAAAAAATGTATTTGTGTATTTTTCCCTTTGAACAATGCTGTCTTTGTGGGTTACAGATAACATGGAAAAAGACACACTGCATACTCAGCCGTGGTTTCTTTCCTTTTACCCATCTTTGATAATTCACTATCATTTGAAAAGCATTGTTTAAAAAAAGTATTTTTCCAACCGCACGAATAAGAGTCAGGTTTTTGGGTTTATTACCATAATTATGCAACTGATTATTCAGGAAACAGGATATTTTAAGATTATGTTACTGAAAGAAGTGATGCTGAATTATGTCTGGAGAAATAATGTTATGTTTGGTCGTGCTTTAAGGTGGACAGATGTTTTTATATTACTTGCAGTTATTATAGGAGCCTAAAGATATGGCTCAAGGAGTTGTTGACTACTATGACAGATTGCAGATATACATTTTACCTGTATTTCTTATGTGAGAGTCTTTAATTAAACATGGCCGGATATTCTCTAAATGGTGACCTGTTTATTTTCTATAAAAACACAACATGAAATAAGAAGACATACCCAACATGAAGAGGTTACAGTATTACGTTTTTTTCAAAGATAGATTTTCCTCTTGGGAGCTGGTGGCTCAATTGAACACATCGCACCATTTAATATCATATTTTATTTTCAAAGAACTGCAACCCACACGTGTTTTCACTTTTTGGCCAGGTTGAATTTGGTTGTTGGGATTTATGTAGGTCAGTGTACCAAAATACATCTTGGTATGTCATAGCATGAAAAGCACAGCTGTATTAAATGAAATGAAAAGTGCACTCAGTGGAGAGCAGTCCTCCGCCAGGTGTTATATCTCCATAGTTGTTGACAGTCGAGACAGAACAATGTAAATAAAAAAGGATTTATTTATCTCAGCGTGAAGTTACTTTTAAGTTGTTATATTTGACAGACTTTCACTCTCCATCCAAGAGTTTTCAATTATGAACCTGCTTGAGTATAATGGAAGCCATTGAAACAAAATGTAGACTTTTCAATTAAAAACAACTGTAGAGTACATTTTAACATAAGGGGTGTGTCGTCTTTGTTTAGTGTAGTAACACTATCTGGTATTGATTAGGACTCACTGGGTCACATGACATGGAATCTCATGAAAAAAACTGAAATGATTTATTACATATTTTTAGTTTAATCAATTTATGACACATTCAGAATAAAATTAAAGATGTACATTTTAGTTGTTTACCAATTATGGGCACGTTGGCCCAATGCTATTGACAATATTGTTATTACAATAGTAGTTTATTGATTGACCCCAAGTGAAATCCTGGGGTTTTAAATTGCCATCCATAATTTAAATGATGTGGTGTTTAAACACCGTCACAAACCTGAGAAGATGTCTCGTCAGGCAACAGATTAACGTCTCCTGTATGGGTGGCTACTCACCACCAGTCCATCATTTCTTTGATCAAATGCTTTTCTGCTGTAAATGAGGGTCAGAATCCCCTTAAATCAATACCACATTGAGTTAAGAACAACTTAAAGGTCCCCTATTATACTGTTTTTCATCAATATAATATAGGTCTCAGATATATACAAAACATGTCTCTGAAGTGTTTGGCTCCAAATACCAAACAGATCATGCATTGCAGCATCCCATAATCCCCTCTGTTTCAGCCCTGTTTCAAAAGTGCTGATTCTCTGTCTGTTACTTTAGATGAAAATAAGGAGCCACTCCCCACGCCCCTCAGAGATATTTGGATGGCTCTAGGAGGAGATTCAGGTGATAAGGTGGGGGGGTTACCTTGGTTGGTTATTGGCTAATGGTTACACAAGCCAAACAATAGTTGACATCATAAAGTGGCCAAAATCTGATCAGCTCATTTTCAGACAGGTTTTTATATAAATGGATCAGGACAAAAAGTGAGCGAATCTTTTTTCCTAAAACGTTCAGAATCTCTTTACACAGAGGGGACACATGTTTATGTATAAAAGACATGAACAAGTGGATTTTGCATAATAGGTGACCTTTAAGACACTGAGGTTATTTGTGTGTTTCAAACAAATATACTGAAGTTAAACCACATACTCATGAGATTACTTTTTTTGGCTGTGAAATGCTTACACTATCACACACGTTAATGCTCTTTACCCATGATAAACCCACATTGGTGCTTTTAAGAAGTTTGAGTAGTGTTACTGCAAATGTATGACCCTGTAATTGCCAGCCTACACAAAACAATTAGTCTCACTAGTTTGACGTTTTATTTTGGTTGGAACTGATCAAAACTAGAACCAGGGGCCTGTTTATCAAAAGGGGTTTGCAAGAACCATTTACAAGCAGATAGAAATGATGAAAAGTAAATGTTTATTATTAGGGAAACCTGTCAAAATCAGGTAACAAATGTGGTGAAATATTCCCCATGTTCCTCAAAAGTCTCAGAATGCAAAACACGTTAAAGAAACATTTGACTTAATGAATCACACCAGTCAGACACTTCTTAAAATGAAACCGTCTTTATTAAGTAACTTTAATATCAGAAAAATAAAACTCTTAAATTCTCTTTACAGCAAATATATAATATCAGTGCTTTGGCCGCAATAACTTAAAAGGCCGTTATAAAATATAGTCTGCTTTTAAACTCCTGACTTAATTTGAAGAATTTATATGCCATAAGACTCCTCCGACATATACATAACAAAAGTGTAGTAAAATTAGCAAATACTTTGAACTGTTGGTACAGCTTAACAATATATGTATTTATATATAGATAATCTAAGATACATTTTACAGTATACCGTTCTTAATTTGGTGGCGTACAGACATGACAGGCAGCTTGAATCCTTGGCCTTTTTACAGTTGCAGTGTTACGTTTTACATTGGCTGTACATTATGAAGACATGCTCGTGATGCACATTCCATTCTCCACTAAACGGCAGCTATCAATACGATTATCATCAATACTGTAAACTAATAACTAGACTACAAGCAGATAGCATTGACACCCTTCTGCAACATTTCTGGGTTTCCAACTCTTCATTCAATTGATCACTCAGAAAAGTAAAAAAAAAATTAAAATCTTATTGTAAACATTTTAATATAGATATATTTGTGTATATATATGAAATGTAACAAAATAAAAATAAGTTCTGTATATTCATCAGTCATTAACAGTAATATCATATAATACATACACAAAAATGTCAATAAACTGAGGGCTAACAGTGTATTGCATTCCCTCAGAGAGAGAAAGAGATCCACCCTTCGCAGAGCTGAGAGAAATAAAATAAAAAGGACGGAGAGAAGACCCAAGGGGCAAAAGCAGATGTTTTTTTTTGCACTTTTGGGACTCCTTCAGTTCCATTTCCTTGAGAAAGCTCAATCACCCATGAAAGAATATGATATTTAAGAAACGGAAGTATAGAATAACTCCCAAATACCGTTTACAGTTGGAATGCTAGACGGACTGCGGTCCAATGTCCAAAAAGTAAAGCAACAGTATTGACCTCATGTAGTGTCAGTCCCAGATTAAATCATTCCAGCTGGCTCTCCTTCCAAATGTCCCTCAACTCATTTAATCCTGTAAAACTAAGTCTAGAGACACTGGCGTTTAAAGCTAAGATTTGAGATGATTTCCACCTATTTGTACCTTTTTCCATCGCTTTTCAGGAGGAGGAACAGACAGATGCACATTGAAAGGGGGTGCACAAAGATCAGACTGTTTTGGAGTCCGTACTTGTCAAAAGTGTGATAAGATATGAGGAAGGCTGTGCTAACTAGGGCACAAGAGCAACAGCAATTGAGCTGATTAGACAGGTGAAGCATCTCGTCAATGCATTAGAGCTGGTAATGAAAGTTAACGCTGACTGAAATGTAGAAACTGGTCAAATCAGAAGGGAAATGTCTGTCTACAGGTTTACGCCCAATATAGTTCAGTTTATCTCCATGGGTAGTTTACGGAGATGATTTTTGCATAGGCCTGGTAGACGAGACATTGATGGCTGCTGTCTCAATTTTGCATCCTAATATAATTATTTGCCGTCTGCTAACCAACCAGGACACAACATGGCTGTGAGGAGCAGGGTAAGTGAATTGTCAAAAAAAAGTAACTTTAATACAGGGAGGAGGAATGTTTCCAAAGGGACAAGCTGTGCATATATCTCTGGCAGAAAATCAGCACATGGTTTCTCCAAACAAGGATATCATTGAGAAAAAAACAAAAAAGGCAAAAAACAATGAGTGGAAATGTAAGTAAAATAAATGGGAGTGTTTGGTGTTAGCAAATAGATGGTAAATATTTGGGAAAGGCTCACTAAAAATGGGAAGCAAAAAAAAAAAAAACCCATCCCTGTTAGATAACCTTTGATCAACAGAGAGGCATTTAAGAGTTTAAACTTTGAAGAATACATTAAGACCTCTGTTAGCGTGATCTGAATTGGTAGATAGTGTTGTCAGTTAGTTACAGGCTTTCCAAAAAGGCCACAAGTTTGTTTTAAGACAAACAACACTGCGTTCACTCGGCACTTTTTGTTCAAATTTTGTTTTTTCCAACATACTTTTTGTTTACTCAAAATGGAATTAGGCACAAGTTTACCGTAAACAGTTTTTTAAAGGTAGAAACGGAAAGCAACGTAACATCTTGGTACTCAACAAAGGGAAGTTAACCACTTGGTTCTAGTCTGGGAGAGAAGGAAGCCTGAGGCAACAAGAGGTTGCCCCTGGAGTGTGAACCATTTACAGTTGTGGGTTTGACCCACTTGGTTTAAAACCCCTTTGTGGGTATGTCTACGTGCTGCGTCACTATGCTTTTGATACAAGCAATACTCAAAAACTCAGATTTTTCCACTGGAGCCTGTAAACATCATATTCTGTTTAAATATAACAGACACACTTTGCTCGATATTTACACACATTTTCAAGGGTAGTGTGGCATTTTCCAGGATAATGTGTATATTTTATCCAGTTTACTGCCGTAGGCATTCAAATTCTGTGGTAACCAGGAGAATACTATTAGTTTAATCATATTAATATATGGGGCTCATATGTAAACATGCTCACTTCTGTTTTCCTTGGAGCGAGCACAATAATTGGGAGGCAAAGGGGCTTGGCTCTACTTCAGATCAAAACAATTTGTAGCAGCGAATTAAAAAAAAATAAAAACAATGGCGAAAAACTTTTTAGATGTTGACAAAATTAACCTTGACCTGAAAGCATTATGTTTCTAATATAATTCAAAATACATTTTAAAAATTGATAAAAAATATAGGTAGGCAGAAATGCTTCAGGGAGGAGAACATTTAAATCAAAAATCATGATGAGCAATATATATATATATATATATATATATATATATATATATATATATATATATATATCCCACCCCACCCAATGCTACACAGAGGGTTTCCAACCCTCCCATTGATCAATCAATCAATCATGGAAGAAGACTTCACAACAGCAGGCACATGTACGGGCTGAACACCCTAACCCATGCCCTAAATATACATCATTCCT